CAAAGAGTGGAATGCGTTAAAATAGAGATGAAAAAGGTTAAATCGCCTGGGATAGAATGAAATTCCGAATATTTTTTTTTTCATATTTTTTTTTTTTTTGCGCAATCAAAAAATGTCGCAACTCGATCCGCCACAAACAATATCGTAGAATTTTGTTTGGACATATGACGTGAAATGGATGCGAGAATGTCATGTTTGAAATAATGGGGAAAAATTATAATGTTACTTTTTCTTTCCGTCGCCACAATGAGATTTTGTCAATATCCACTAATTTTACATGCATGTTGTGTCGACATTCTTTTCGAAGCCCATGTGGAGATGGCATGGCAAAAACGTTTCTGAAGAATGCATTTGATGGACGTTGATTGTCAAGACTAGTGCGTCCTTGCGAAAACATACACGATTATCAGAGGATCTAGTATGCAATGGCTTTGGTTTTGGTAATAGATGAAGTCATGATTGCGTACATGCATATCTAATTGTTGGGTGTATTCCTATTATATGACATCACACAATCTCTTCACAATTGACATCGGTACGTGGCGAGTGAGGTTTGTCGAATGAGCGAATAAGAACAATAGGGCGCCAAGCCACGTATTAATCTTGGATAATAGGCAAGCATATAATGGTTTGATGTGAGGGAGGATTAAATTAGTGGCAGAAGATCACATACGTAAGCACGTGTATGTATGTAACTGATACGGCCGAATTAAGAAATGGAAGAGGACAATACTCAAGTTTTCAAGTACGGAAGGTGGCTACAGACGGAGAGCGGAAACAATAACAGCGATTAGTTTTGCCAGTGCATAAAGTGTGTAACGTTCTTTGGTCTGAAAATAGAATCTGCAACAAAAAAAAAAAAAATATCTGAAATTGGTTTAGCAGGAACAATATATCCATCGGTGTCGTTAAGGTTTAGTCGTGACTTTTTTTTCAGATTGACAGAAATATGCACGCACCCCTCCAATGTACTTGATTTGGTTAGTATGTTTATGCGTCGGCGGCAAATTGGCATATTACGCAAATCTTGTAAAAAATGGAGACATTTATCAAAAAATATTAAACTTAATTGAAGCTTGCATGTATATTGTATATTACACATCAATACTAGACAAAAAAAAAAAAAAAAAAAAAATCGGCAAAAAATAATAATAAATTATGAATTATCACTGGAGAGGCTGGGTATCGAACCCAGGGCCTTCCGCATGCAAAGCGGACGCTCTACCACTGAGCTACATCCCCAAATCATTAACGGACTCCATGTATTTTGTTCCTATGAATAGTAACAGTAATGAATGCGCATCCATAGTAGGACTATACTGTATGTATATACAATATATTATTACAACGGATAATAATCAAGGTAGACGTTAATGTAATATTTAATACAATAAAACCGGCTGATTGTGTTTGTGTCGTCGATCCACAATATACAATTACTGTATTATCGGTTATTTAACAATCTCTTCGCCTTTTTTAAAAGTACTTTAACCTTTTCGGAATCAACTGAGCTCACCCCTTCCACCATATATAAGTTACAGTACATAAATAACTGCATACATATATAGAACTATTATCTAACCGTGAAGAAAAAAAAAAAAAAATTCAATTTAACTCATTTATTATATTGTTATATCGCACACTGTATATGTGTCTGTATGTACATATATTCATATTTTTTTTTTATAAATACCTTCGATGATTTTCTGCTTTTCGTTTTCGCAAACACAATTTCTGTTTTCTCAAAATTTTATTTGCTAATCGGTTTCCGACGTTCCATAAACTCTACGATAAAAATTTTTGATTAACGAATTGCCATTTCAAAAAAAGAAAAGAAAAAAACCAATCCAAATTTAATTCAATATACCACTGTATTCTCAAAGGGAGAACCAACCATTGCTTATACATTCGATTTGACCTAACGTTGATACGTACAAACCCTTTTGTTTGCATTAATTATATATCTACATTACACATAATTTTTAAATTTTATTAAGTTGGAAAGAAGCTTCCGTTAAATATACTTTTCTTTCTCTGTACAAATTTTACTTTGTAACATCGTACATAGGATATTCAACCATTCCCGCTTTTTTTTAATTCGTTCACCAATTTGCAACCTAATTACCATAAATTATTGCACAAAGGCACATCACCAGAAAAGCACAAATATACGACTTCTTAACGTTTCTTTCTTCTACCTGACGACTTCGCCCACCACCACCACCACTAATAATAAAACCATCCATCACTCATTTCTCCACATAACAACTCCTTATTTCATTCCTAAAAGGACACAATGACAACAACGACTGAATCCCCCTCAAAGATGATGAGTGAACGTGAACTCAACGCCAAACTTACTGAAATCTTTAACAAGATTGGCCAGCTGGATATCGCTCAACAAGTGAGTTTCTTGTTCCTTCTTCCTTTTTCATATCTCCCCCCAAAGCTTGTCTAACAACAATTCTCCAATATTAGGGAATCCAAGAACTTCACGAACTTTTAATGGAACATCCAGAATGCGATGTGAAAGTCGATGCATTTTTATCAAGCGCTGGCGTCTTTTTTCAGAAATACATCAGGAAGGCTCTAAGTGACATCACCAAACGGGAGATGCAAAACCACGGAATGATACCCAAAACATCGTCTCCGTTGTCTCAACAAAAATCCAATGATACATCACCGGCAAACGCTGTCAATGCGAACCCCGTGGTCACCTCGATAACGACATCCTCTCAAACACAAAGATCATCGGTATCCCTAAAAAGCAACAAACCTCCATATAAGTTTGCTACCAATCGCTGTTCGAACAGTCCGAGACCTACTACCCCTACCACGTCGATGACAAATAAGGAGTCAACAAAAGTACCCCTGGATACTGCGAAAATCTCGGACTCGGTCACGGGCAACAAGTTCGATCTTTCTGAAATGTCGCCAACAACAAGTACGTTTCGTAAATCTTTTTTACTTGAACCATTAGTCAATCCGTAAATATCGTTAATCTAATCTAATATCGATCATTCATTTTCATTGGCATAATAGAAGCCTTGATGGATAAAATTTCGAAAGAAACCTTTGAACAAACACGGTTCCGTCTTCATCATATATTTCAATATGAAAAGTATAAGGTTAGTTCTTTTTCCATTTCCCGAAGATGTATACACACATATATACATGTACCAATGAAATTTCTCTCTCACAACAGACTGGACAAAAACGAGCAAGTCTACCAAGTCTAGAACGATATCAAAGCGATGCAGAAAGACTGGAGTATGTCAAGAGCATCCTACAGACACAATCCAATGTTCGTCGTTCCACCTGGCCGATCGCTCCATTCGAAGTTACTACTTCTGCGATCAGTGCCAATTGATTATCAAATAACGATAAAATACGAATGACTTTAAAAGAGTCCGATACGATTGCGATTGATTTGATAAATTGATAACGATTAAAAGATAACGGTTTCACGAACAATTTTTGTAAACCATCGAGGGGGCACACGTTTGAATCCACTACTTCGATTGCCTTTACTTCCCTTTTTTTTTCTGAATTCGTTTCGTTAAACATTATGCTTTTACCAAATATCAAACACTCAATCTTCCTTTTACAATATGTCATATCCTCGTTCAACTTAGTATTATACCACCCCAGCAATGTCATCCCAATGATTTTTATCTAATTTTTATTCATCTATTCATTCATCCAATTTCATTTCATTATTTGACGACACTCAAGCGATCATCGCCATTTTCGCCGGATTTTCGCGAGACTACACACATTCCTTTTCGTTCAGAGGTGGAGGTGTATTTGATAAATAGATAGATTAGAGTACAATTTCTAGATGACCAATTAAGAAGGTCGGCTGGATGTAGGGTGAAGGTTTTCTAGTCTAATGATTTAGAGAGCAAAGAATGCTGAAAATAGAGAAAATCTCATAAGACGAAAAAAACAAAAAAAGAAATCCTTTATGTAAAAATGAAAAAAAAAAAAATCCAACAAGAACGGCCAAGCATAACTTGGTCAGGCTCGAAATAACAATTAAAAAGTAAACGTAATTCCTTAGGGATTTATATTATTGTAAATAAACAATAACTTTACGACACCAATTTAATTTAACGTCGGATAATAGATAAGCTTGTTGATTTTTATTTGTGCACATAAGTTTAACAAGAGTGAATGTTTGTTGACGCCCAGCCTTAAAAGCTATTGCGTGTTCTACGCGCATTACAAAGTGGTGACACTGTTTTTCGATTCAAATTATTCTGTCAGGAAGCATTGTTGAATTCAAGTGAATTAACTGAAGTTTTATAAGAAAAAAAAATCAATACCGTGTTAAATTTGAAAGTACTCTGGCCTAAGCTCTTTTGTTGTAGCCGATTTCTATCTATAAACATTACTTTTGCGTCCGCAAAAAAATATTACGCCGACAGAACCCATAAAAGAAAAAAACCCCATCTCTTCCGAAATGATGCAATAATAATAACAATTTCTAATTTTGAATATTATCGTTTTTCAAACTTGATCTTCCAGCCCTCATCATTTCATCGACCAGTAAAAAGTTACTTGCGATCACAGAACTAATACAATACCATTAAAGTTTGTAACCAGTTAACATTTAATATAAGCTATGCGAGAAATATAGAAAAAAGTTTCCCCTTAAAACCATACCATGAATGTAACATGTTACGTATGACGCGATAGTTATCCCAGATTCCCTCCTGAACAGGATCTAAGGTCTCTCCGGTGTTAAGATCAACTCCAACTATGTGACCTTCGGCGTATTCTTCCTATTTGATGTAACATGACAGTTCAACTTGAATGTACATACGCATACACGGACATATTAAGACAAACCTGTAATGCGACGATAGTGTCCTGGGGATCAAATCCACCGTTTGTTGCCAGAACCTTCGGTATTACCAACATCGCATCTGCAAACGCTCGTACTCCCATTTTTGCACGTCCCTTAACTGAATCCTTGTACTTATTTAGGTGTGAACTAATCGCGACGTGGAATGCACCTGCCCCTGGTACTACACATTTATCTTCAATTGCATTCTTAACATTTCTTAATCCATCCCGGACTGCATCATTGATCTGTGCAATCGTATGAGCGTTGGGCCCTTTTCGATAATAAAAAAAGACATTCGTTATGTGATTGACCATCATAAATTGCAGAGATTGAAAATCGGAACGGTGACAGACCTTTGATCAAAATAGTAACGGATTTAGGATCCTTCACCTCATCGACAAAAGTATATTTCTCTTCACCCAGTGTGTGCTCATAAATAAGTCCAGCATGCCCAAGTACATCAGGCGTCAAATCATCAACTGAATTTTGAGCAACACCACCGCACACGAGCTGAAGTCTATGACACAAAAGCAAAATAAGGATCATTGAAGATAACATACGTCATTGACTTCATGTGAATGTTACCTCTCCATGTTTCTTCTTTTGGCACGCCTTAATGCCAGTATTCCATTTTTGCAAAGGATGTCCAGTGACAACGGATCGATTCCTTTCTGATTAATTACAACAAATCCTTTTTTACTATCACCAACCACCTGCTTTTTCAGCTCCACAATTTTTTTGACTTTTTCATCGGTGAACTTGCGTTCCGATTCGACGAGTTTTTCGCGTTGTTCGGCAGATGAATAAAAGAATCCAGAATTAATTTCGCTGTCAGAATGATTTTTTTATTAATACGTTGTTCGATTATATAATTATGATCTGACTCGTTGAAATTTCTAATGATCACCTTTTCTCATATTCCAAAGAAACGTTCAAGGTTAATATGTATGCATCTTCGACGCGTTTTGGCATATCAGGGTGACGGGCACCGTGATCCAAGACAAGTCCACGAATCAAGCAAGAATCGGTCGCTGTCTTGTGTTGCATTTTCATGATTTCTACCATATGTAGATCGATGGGCTCATTATCGCGTTTGATGGCCAGCACTGCATCCACAACCGCCTCCGTTAAAGAATCTGCGAGAGCGGCGTGAACTTTTGTACGCAAAGAACTACGAGCTACGTTAATTAACAATTCCCGGTCGATGGCTCTTTCAATCTTGAACTTGTCCAAGAACTGTTTGTTTGTTGACCATTATCGAAGTCATTAGGAAAACACTCATGTAAATTAAAAACGAAGTTTTCTAATCTTTATTGCGCGTATGTAAAATGCTTGGGTACCTCGAGAGCTTCTTTTCTTGCTAGGTCAAATCCCTCGGTGATAATCCTGGGGTGCAACCCCTCTGAAATATATCTTTCGGCCTGCTTCATCAATTCCCCTACTAACAAAACGACCGATGTTGTGCCATCACCGGTGACATCATCTTGCGCGGTGGCGGCTCTGGCAATCATGGCTGCAGTTGGATTTTGTATTTGCTTGATTCAAATGAAAATCACTAATCAATAAATCCTTCTCAGACAAAAATGTCGATCTCTCCTTACCATTTCGCTCAATAGAACTTTGCCATCTTTGGTGATCTTGATGTTCCCGGCGCCATCGACCAACCTAAGTGCAATTTTTGAGGTTGACAAAAGCATTAGACGACGTTGTCACAAAATTACTCTAGATGCTCGACCTTTTTTAATTCCGATCGCGGTGAACGTAAGCCTCGCGATCACCTTTAAAATCAATCGGAGCGTCTCGGGGAAAACATACATTTTAATTGTTCCTTTGGGACCCAAATTCGTCTTTAATACATCTTGCAGGCCTATGGCGGCTGTGATGTTTATTTGAAGAGCCTGACCTCTTCTTGCTACCTCAGAATTTGGGTTGATGAGTTGGACGGCTGCTGACCTGTGAATAAGAAAGAACTCGAGGGTTATCCGGAAGCGTTTGTTTTAAAGAGATCTAGTTAAAAAAGTCTACGGTGAGACGTAATCTTACATTCTTGATTAGAATTCTGCTACCAACAGAAAAACACGAAACACTGATGATCTCTACTGCTAGAAACTTAATCTAGGAACTTACGTACTTGCCGTGCCATCGTGTGATACAGATCAAGTACCTTGATTGGTCAATACTATTTCCGCATATACATATTCAAGGTCACCTGACAATAGATATCCCAGTTTCGAAATAAGGAGCCAAAAAATTTCGACCACAAGTTTTGCATACGTTTCCTTTATTATTTTTAAGAGTAGCTATTTTCATTTTCACCATTTGACGATGAGTGTCGAAGAAACCGAAGACAGCCTTTATCCCATTGCAGTTTTACTGGACGAACTGAGGGCCGATGATGTCAATTATCGATTAAATGCCATCCGGCGACTTTCCACAATCGCTTTAGCCTTGGGGGTGCAAAGAACACGAGATGAACTTATACCATTCCTTGACGGTGAGTGATCCTGAACCATAACTTGCGTTCTGGAGAACTGCTTTGTTACTGTGTGAGCTTCGGCTGTACGAATTAATGTAATGGCCTAAAACTTGACGAGAGACAATACCTTAGAGACCGCGCGGTTGGAATGAGTTTTGAGGCCTCCAAAATGAAAATATATCCCGCTTGACGTATATTGTCATTTTATAATTTGAAGCGATACAATTCATTCTGAAATGACGATCCAGCAAATTGTAAACTTTGGGATCGTGCATTTAATTGTATTTGCAAATAACTTTCTTTTAGAATCCATTGATGATGAAGATGAAGTGCTTCTTGCACTTGCTGAAGAGCTTGGCAATTTTGTCGAATATGTTGGTGGAAAAGAATACGCGCATATTATACTTGGTCCATTGGAAAATTTGGCGGCTGTAGAGGAAACTCTAGTCAGAGAAAAGGCATGTATACAGTATAATGTGATGTATCTGCGGAAATCCTGAATTGCTTCCCGAGGACCCAATCCACTCACCTTACCTCCAATTGTAGGCTGTCGAGTCTCTCACCAAGATCGCGGAAGTGCTTTCTCAACAACAAATTGAGGAATATTATATACCACTTATTAAACGTCTGGGAGGTGGTGATTGGTTCACGAATCGCACTAGTGCCTGTGGTTTGTTCGCAGCAGCTTATCAGAATGCAACACCAGCTTCGCAAGAAGAATTACGGTCAATGTTCAGACAGTTAACTATGGATGACACGCCAATGGTTCGAAGGGCTGCTGCTGCGAACCTAGGGGTGAGTTATAAAGGATTCGCCTTTCGTCTGTAAACCACACGCAGCGCTAAAATTGTAATCCACTTGTTTTCGCATGCTTGTTCTGTAAAAAGAAATTTTCCAAAAAAATTCCAAAAGAACAGGTCATCTCAGATATAATTCCGCTGTTTAACAAACTTGCACAAGACGAACAGGATTCCGTACGCTTACTAACGGTGGATGATCTTGTTTCGATTGCCGAGATCCTTACAAAAGAAGAGAGTAAGACCTATCTTTTACAAACATTAAGGAGCATGGTATCTGATAAGAGTTGGAGAGTTCGATATATGATTGCTGAAAATTTTGTCAAGGTCTGTGTTTCAGTTTGGTTGTTCTTCCATCCCTTAAGATCCTTCATGAACCACCCTACTTTGAAACTCTAGATCGCGAAGGCTGTAGGAGATGAAGTGACGCGTGAAGAATTGGTATTGGCATTTGTTAATCTACTCAAAGATAATGAGGCTGAAGTGAAAACAGCCTCTTCCGGTCAAGTTCCAGGTAATATGTTAATTAACAATAACATTACTATTCTTATTAAATATTCTTATCATTAATCGTTAATTATCTGAAAAAAAATTTTTTCTCAAGGTTTCGCCCAATATATTGACAAACAGACAATTTTGTCTCACATATTACCATGTGTCAAGGATTTGGTAACCGATACCTCACAACACGTCCGTGCTAGTCTGGCTACCCAAATTAGTGGTCTGGCACCTATTTTGGGCAAGGAAGCGTACGTGACAAGTGAATGGAACTGATCAAAAAAAATTATTGTTCTTCATTGACATCGTGTGATTTTCTTTGATAGCACGACCGAACATTTGCTACCTCTCTTTTTACAACTTTTGAAAGATGAGTCCCCTGACGTGAGGCTTAACATCATATCCAAGTTAAAACAAGTGAACGAAGGTAATGTAACTTGTTTTGGTTTACCGAGTTCGAAATTATTTTAAGCTTCTTGCGATCTGACATCACCTTTATTAATTGAATAGTTATTGGCATTGAACTCTTGTCACAGAACCTTCTTCCGGCAATAGTTGAATTGGCTGAAGATAAACAGTGGCGTGTGCGACTTGCGATCATTGATCATATTCCCTTGCTTGCGAGTCAATTGGGTGTCTCCTTTTTTGATGAGAAGCTTGGAAATCTTTGTATGTCTTGGCTAGGGGATAACGTATATTCCATTCGTGAGGCGGCAACGGTTAATTTGAAAAAATTAACCGAAGTTTTTGGTGTTGAATGGGCCAAGACTACTATCATACCAAAAGTTTTGGCGATGGGCACTCATCCAAATTACCTATACAGAATGACTACGATTTTTGCGATCACGGTTGGTATTTCATTCCAATTGTTAGTAACGGCTCATGGAATAATTTGCGAGCTAAATATTTATTCAACAGACGATGGCGCCTGCAGTTACCCCTGAAGTTATCAGAGACCACATCCTTCCCACAGTGAATAACCTTGTCTCCGATCCTATTCCTAACATTCGGTTCAATGTTGCTAAATCCTACGAAGTATTAATACCAGTTCTTAAACGAAGTCCTGAAACGGGAGTACTATTGGAAACCCAAGTAAAACCGGCGTTGGATAAATTAAGGGAGGATTCGGATGTCGATGTCAAATACTTTGCTGAAAAGGCATTACTTTCTGGTGAGTGAAAGAACTGTCTGAGTACAAGGCTAGTTCGATATTCTAGCCAGGCGTACTAAGAAATGCTTGATATTTGAACATCATAATAGCACCATTGGTTGAACGTAATTTTTAAAAACTTTATCGCAAATGCGTTTATTAATTTTGGTTTATACATTTATAGGTTACCAATAAGTAATTGCAATCAATAAAACTTTTTCAAATATTTATCATTAATATGTGTGCAATTCAAAAAGTATGTTTTTCCTATGGGATTTATTGGGCACACTAATAAAATCAGACTATTCAAGAATGTCTTATTTATAATATTTTGCAATACTTGTATAAACATATATATTGCAGTTATAGTTATAATGAATATTAAAGTTTATAACATGTAGTGGAGTTGTAATATTTACATAATTAATTAATCAATAGTAGAAAACATTATTTGTAATTATTCCTTTTACCCTCAATAAACTATTCATATTACAGTTCGTACGTATACTTACACAGAAAAAATCAATAAATATGCATTATTATAAACATTTTTATTTTTTCAAAAATTAAACAGTCACTTGATTTTTCAAAAAATCTTTAAAGGATCCTTTATACAATGCTTAAATTATCTGAATTATCGATGCGAATTTATTGTTTTTTATTATTTTTTAAAACAATCTTGAACTATTGAATAATTAAAAAAAAGATATTAAAATTTTTTTTCAACTGATGAACTTTCATATTGTACGAATAAAAATTAAAAATATATATAATTTTTTAATTACTTGAAAAACTCATGAGTTACGTTTAAAGAGGAAAAATGTTTGAAAAACAAATTCTATTTTTTTTTTTTAAATGATTTAATATTAAAAATTTAGTTGCAATTTTAAATCTTCTTAATAAAAAAAAACATTGGAATTTTTTTAATTTTTTTTTTATTTTATTCTAAAAAACATGAATCAAAAAATTTTTTTATTGTAATACGATAAAATCGTCCTAAACACAATGGAATAAATTTTTAAAATATTTAGTTCTTTATTTATAAAAACCATTATATCAAATTAAAGTTTAAATTCAAAAATCATGATAATAAAACTTTTATATAAAAAAATTAATGACAAAAAAAAATTTTTATATAATTAAAACAATATATAATAAACTTGAAATTTGATTAATAATAAATATAAAATAATTTATAGATCAATAGTACAGTAGACAAAAAAACTTTTTTTCATTTTTTTCTTTTTATACTTGAAATTTTTCTTTTAAAAATTTTTTGAATTGTTTACTTTTTTTTTATTTTTTTCTCTCTTCTTTTTCTATCTTTTTTTTTTTCTATTTTCTTTTATGAATATTTTTTATATACTTTCTATTCTCCCTTTTACTTTTTTTTAAATTTCTGATTAAAGTTTAATTTTTCTTTTTTTTAAAGTTTTTTCTCTCTAGGTTTCTATTTTCTTTTTATAAATTCTTCTTTATTTTATTATTCCTCTAATCAGTTGACTTTTTTCTCTCAAAACTATATTAAAAAATAATAATTTTTCTCAAGATATAAGCTTTGAAAAAAAATTTTTTTCTTTAATTTTTTTAAAAAAAAACAGATGATTTATTCATTTTAAAAAGATTAATATAACTATCATTATTAAATTTGTTATTGTTTATCTATTGATAGTTAAACTAAATATAAAATATATAGTAAAATAATATATAATAATTAAAAATTCTAATTACTTCTACAAAAAAAGCTAATAATAACAATACAAGTTTCTTATATATTTCTTAATAATATAGATTTATTATATAAGATCAGATATTAATATTTATAAAAACAAATAGAATTTTAGAATTAAAAAAACTCTTTTTCACTCCCCCTTTCTACGCTTAAAAATTTCCTTTTTAGGAAATTTTTGAGTTGTTTACTCTTTTCTCGTCTTCCCTTTTCCCTTCTCTCTATGTCCCTTCTCCATACCTCTTTATTTCCCCTCTCATATTTTTTCCTCTCTCTTCTATATACTCTTTTCTTTTACTCTTACCTCTCCCTCCCCTTTTCCCTTTTTTTTTCCTGTCGAAGCTAGGTTTTTCCCTTTTCCCTGAAGGTTTTCCTTCCTAGGCCTCTTTCTCTTTTAAAAACTCCACCTTCATAACATCACTCCTCTGGACAGTAGATCCTTTTCTCTCAGGAACCATATAAGAAGCGACAAGATTTCCACAAGATGTAAGCTATGGAAAGTTTTCCCTCCATGGCTTCTCAGAAAAAGGACGGACAGTTTACCCCCTCCAAAAAATCAACATGACCATTATTACCTAATCTGGTGTTGTTTACTCATTGATGGTTAGACTAGATACATCTAAAAAACCAGTGTACAACTATTATTATTCGAAAGTATCCAAGGAGTTGTGCCCCACAGTATCCAGAAAGATATGGCAGCCAATGCCAATGCAACTAACAGTAAGCTAGGTTAGTCTGCAGGTGTCA